CTGGAGTTATTGAAAGATTATGATGTGAAATATCTCAGATCATCCGGAAAGGCTAACGTAGTAGCAGATGCCCTCACTGCAAATCTATGGGAGTTTGGCGTACTTGTAAATGAAAGATCAGGAGTTGGCCAGAGAAATACACCACTATCCAACTTAGGCTTTTCACCCGTGTAGCGTAAATAGAGGAAAACAGAGCGGTAATTCGTAACACCGATGTGTCGTCATTAGTTGTGGAGGTAAAGGAACGGCAACATGAAGACCCTAACCTGGGTTCAACTTAAAGACAGAGCTCCGGCAAGGGAAAGCGCCTTGTGATTTTCTGTACTTGAGGATGAAGTATACATGTAAAGGCCGCTTCTTTGTGTCTCCGTGATATTTCGTGGCTTCACCAACAGATTATGAGTTAGGTACATTGTTCCGCTATTCTCTCCAAACCAAAAAGTATAAATTGTACCACGATATCAAAGAAATCTACCGTGGCTAGGTATGAAGAGGGAAATAAAGCGTAATTTGTGGCCTAGTGTCCTAACCGACAACAAGTAAAAGGAACACCGTGAAACCAGGTGGATTGACTCGTAAAATAGCCGTGCCTCTCTCGGAAGTGGGAAAAGCAGAACATGGGACTTTGTAGCAGCATTACCCCCGTACTGCATAGACACATGATTCAATTTGGGTAATTGTTGATAGACCGACGAAAATCAGCCCATTTCCTGCCAGTAAAGCAGTCAAGATTACGCCTCGAATTGTATATGTGAGAAATAGTTAGATTACACGGTGTTCCAACATCTATTATCTTTGACAGAGGAGCACAATTTACAGCTAGATTTTGGCAGTCATTTCCTAAAGGTCTGGGAACGCTAGACACTTGAGCACAACATTCCACCCTCAAACGGATGGATAGGCGGGAACGCACTATTCGTATCGCCGAGGATATGCTACTGTGTGTGTCGACTTTGGAGGTAGCCGGGATGAGCATTTACCACTAATTTAATTTGCTTATAACAATAGTTAACACTCAGCTATCCGTATGGCGCCTTGCGGCATTGTATGGGCAAAAATTCAGATCGCCGATTGGCTGGTGTGAAATAGGGGAATCAGCCGCCGACCGCGACATTATTCATCGGGCCGTAGGAGAAGGTAAAGCTTATCAAAGAACGCCTACTAATCCTCTCGTGAGCCGCCGCAAATCGTATGCTTAGCAAACAAAGCAGAGAACTGGAATTTAATGTGAATGACTCGGGTATTGTTGAAAATATCTCCAATGAAAGGTGATGAGATCTTAAAGAAAGGTAAGCTCAATCCTGGTATCTGCTGGGCCTTATCGATTTGGCGGAGAGTAGGCCAAGGGACATACGAGTTGAACTTCTGCCTCCGCACTAGAGTCCGTTCATCTAGTTTTCCACGTATCTATGCTAATAAAGTACATAGGAGACCCATCCCAAGTTGTCCCAATCCTGGATGTCCAGGTTACGGAAGAGATAACCTATGAAGAGGTTCCGTGAGCTATATTAGACAAACATATTCTTAGATTGAGAACTAAAGATATTGCTTCCGTCAGTACTTTTGGCGTAATAAGAACCAAGAGGAGATGACTTTGGTAGCGCAGGAAGACATGAAAGTCAAATATCCCCAGCTGTTCCAAGCCTAGTCACCCAAGAGGTATGATAGTATTGTTATCTTGCAAATGCCTTATATTATATATATAATGAGAGAGTCGACTCTAGTCTTCTACGTGATGAATGCTATAGTATTGTGTGGAGTAATCGTATTGACTTTATGTGCATTTCAGGTTTTTTGAGATAGTCCATATTACAGGGTAACTTTGCCGAAATTTTTCTTAAAAGGTAGGCCGGTATTAAGACTCCTATAAGTAGAAATTTAACATTTGAGGATGAATGTTCTAAGGGGGTAGGATGTTACACTCAGAATTCTCGATATGTAGATTTGGCCTATTCGCATGTTGGTTAAGAGTTTTAGAATGCCATACATGCTAGAAAAGGCCCGGGGGAAGACTGGACGAACATTTCATCGAACCACCACGGGAGAAGCCGCGTAACTCCTCCACGATGGCCGCAAGCCATGGAGAGAGGGGCCTCGCCTGGCGGCGTATCACGGAGGCCCCGTCAGCCCAACTATATAAACCCCCACTTCATTTTTAGGATAATTATGATAATTATCCAAAGGAACAAAATCGTAGAGGACGTAAGTAATTTGATGAAATTTCTTCCGTTTGCTCTATTAAACGTGGTCCAAGCTCGACTAATCTTGCAGTGAAGTATTGCTGTCCTGAGCATTCCCGTGGAGTTAGTTTCGTGAAATTTGGCCGGCGAATCGTCGTCCTACCGAGCTAAGGTAAGTGGAATTTCTCCAAATTAGTGTCAATATACTCCTAGAACTAAAGTAAGCATTTCTCCCTTCCTCGACTTCCTCGAAACAGCGAGCTTTCTCGAACGCTTTTCGATAAGTCAAAGTTTGGGCCATATATATATATATATTAAAAGTGATATCTTCTCTAAAAATATTAGTGTATTTAGTCCTAATTGATATATATATTGATGCAGTTGGGAGAAATAGCAATAATATTGATCAATTACGCCAATTAGCCAGAAATCAAACTAGAGGTATGTAAAGCTAGTTCTTGGGCAAGATAGAAATCCCATTATAGTAAACAAAGTAAAGTCTATAATAAGGAACCTAGAAGCCGAGAATTGAGTCCAATATTATTTTAGCAAGCATGTTTATATTATTATGCCGATTCGTAATAAAGTTTGTAAAGTAATACGTATAGTCGATAATATTTCGTATACAAAGATATCCTCAACATGAGAACCGCTAGAAAAGAGTTCGAATAAGAAATCGAAATACGTATAGCATTTTCATATCGAACACACTTCTATACGTGATTATTGTTTGTTGAGACCTGTTCGTACTATGAGGGGCACCCTTAGAGCTTCCTTGCTGCCCTGTGGTTAATAGTCGTGGCTCTAATTCACCCGACGAGGGTGAGGATACGTCACTCCAAGGAGTTGCATGTCGTCCGCAAGACGAAGATGGGATGCGTGATTCTCCATATCAGGCTGATCAGTATAGCATTATAGCTTACTCCTGTCGAGCGCTTGCGCCAAGGGAGCAGATTACGTATACAAATAAAGATATAGATTGGCGCGCTTTGCGCTGGCGTGAGTCCTCCGAACTCAGATACAGCTATAGTAAGGGGCCAAGAGAGCCCAAGCCGCATACCTGGGGGCCGGTAGAGGTACTGTAGTTAGTAGGCGAGTGGAGTGGTTTACTTTTGGAGGGTTTTGACCGGTAGGGGTATATAGATTGTGTGTTGGTTGGCACTTTCCGCCATGGGGCTGGTATAGGTCATTGTATGGTATATGGTATATACATTTTATTTATTAGTTGATAGATAGAAGGACGCTCACGTCGAAAGGTATGCTTCTACCTTACCTTCGCAGATACAAGCTTATCTCATATCCCGCCAGCCGTACATTTCAGCTACTTTCTCGCTATTCGTAACTACCAAAGATTATTACTTATATTCGCTATGTTCAATTTGTTTTACATACTCGGTACCTGGTACCGACGCCCATTTGGGGTGTTGCATAACTTGCCCGCAGGGTACCCATAGACAAGGAGAGCCACCCTCGTGATCCCAGCAAGCGTTGCATTTATCAGATCCCGTCATCCGGAGCTTGATATTCTAAGGTTTATATCATTTTTTGTTTGTTATAGCACTGTAGGTCGTCCGTCCACCATCTTATCGCATTCTTAGAGGCTTGATGCTTGTGTATTCCCGTGGCCAGTTAGGTCCGCCCAGGAGCTGTATGCCTTAGTTATTTATGATGGCCATGTGGGGCCTTACTCGTTGGTAGTGGTGACCTTGTCGGCTCGCAGCGCTAGCACCCGTTATCTTGATTCAAATTCCTCAAAGGAAACACCGCTGCATGGTGGCCTTGTCGCCCCTTAGGTCCCCCTACATGAATGGGGTTCTGGGTTAGCTGATGTTATAGTTCAGGTGGCTATAGGCCTAGTTTGGCCGGGGGCTGTATTTACAACGTTATATAGCCCGTTGATTCCGTGGAATCAAAGCTAGAGCCATTCGTGCACCGTATGCTTAGGCTCGCAGTCTAGCAGCTCAGAACCTAGTACGGCACCAGGTGCCAGTCATACCCCCAAGGCGGGGCGTGACATTCCTATCCCTCCCCTACGTTTTTCTTTTACCTTCCACCCCCAAAAGCGAAAGGCGGGAATTAATTACTAGTCTCGAGTTAACCCTAAAATAGTTTGGCAAAACAAGATGTTGCGGAGACAGGATTTGAACCCGTGACCTCAAGGTTATGAGCCTTGCGAGCTACCAAACTGCTCTACCCTGCGCCGAAGATAAGAACTGAAAACTACATGCTATCACACACATAATCATACTCAATTCGATGGAATTGTTTGATCTTAAAAGGAATCTTCTATAATTTCGCACATGAGGGGTTATTTCTTTGTTTCGTCCAGTCATTAATAACTTGATTATTTTTATATAATAGTATATAGAAACAACGCTTGTAAGGAGTCCTATTAAAACCAAGAAATATAGGCCTGTCTGCCATCCACACCAGAATAAATAGAGTTTTCCGAAAAAACCTGCTAGTGGAGGAAGACCTCCTATGGATAAGAGATATAGGGATAAAGAGAGAGCCAAAAAAGGATCTTTTGTGCATAATCCTGCATAATCTCGAATGTTATCAGTTCCGGTACGTAGATCAAATAATACAATGCAAGCAAAAGTTCCTAGATTCATGGAGATATAGAACAACATATAAGTTATCATGCTTGCATATCCATGATTTGAGTCTCCAACAATTATTCCAATAATTACATATCCGATTTGGCCTATGGATGAATATGCAAGCATACGTTTCATTCTTGTTTGATTAATAGCAATATACTGATTCGATCTGAGCTCTCTTATTGGAATGCTCATTCAATTCGCATTCTCAATATTATGCCTTGAAGAGGACTCGAACCTCCATGCATAGCACGACATTTTGAATCTTGCGTGTCTACCATTTCACCACCAAGGCATCTTGAAAGTGAATCGTAATCCATGATTATGATATCTATCTAGTGTGATGTATGGAATATATGACAAAGATGGATCTATTGATCGGTCATGTCATATAGGCCCGAGTTGGACATCCAATTGCTTCGATTTGAATTATCCGGAGAATACAATGCCTGATATATATCAAAAATATTGTTCCATAGCCCTGGGGCTATTTACAACTAGCCAATTAAGAAGTCTCAGATGTACTATAGCACTGCATCTTTGATGCAGTCATCGATTCTCCCGAGAGGTCACAATTGCCGCGAGCAAAGATATTAATGACGAGGAAGGCTTTTTTGTTATTCTACTAATACTTGCTCTGCTATTCTGCCCAAGCTTGGCTGAGGAAGAGTTATAGGGCGTAAAACAAAAAAATACGTCGACCGGGCATACTATGTGTAATGATTCCCCCATTCACGATAAATAATAAATGAAAACAGAAAAAGAAAAGCCATTCCATTTCTACAAAATACCCACACCCAAGTTCCATAGCTTTTGGTTCGCTATCCCGATCATGATTTTCCTACCCCTAGAGGGAAAGGTACTTCCCTTTTGGGCCGGTTGTGGGCGAGGAGGGATTCGAACCCCTGACACCGTGGTTTGTAGCCACGTGCTCTAATCCTCTGAGCTACAGGCTTCTTTCAAAAGAGCTTCTGCTTCCTTGGTAAATATTTTGGTAGAAGATATGATTTCTTGGAACTGATGTTTATTAGTTTTTAAGTAAGTATGTAGCTCAACAAGAAATTTCCTTACCTGTCCAACTTATAATGAATCAAGATAGCTCTTCAAGAACAAATGGAACATTTTATACTTCAGGAACAAGCATAAAGAAATATTGATCACTTGTCTTAATAAAAAAAGGAATTAAGCATCTTGAATTCAAATATTCAAACAGTCTTTCTTGCTATCGAAATCTAAAATATATATATATATGGAAATAAATTGCGTCAAATAGGATTTGAACCTATACCAAAGGTTTAGAAGACCTATGTCCTATCCATTAGACAATGGACGCTTTTCATTCCAATTTTTTTTCGTATTTTCACTTTTTGTTTGAAAAAACCCCCAGAAAGAATCGGATGTGAAAGAATTTTTGGAATTGTATATTCAATGATGTACTAATAAACTAAATTTGATTTAATGAATAGATTAAAGTATTTAGAATAAATAGATATAGAATGGGCAGCGGGAATCGAACCCGCATCATTAGCTTGGAAGGCTAGGAGTTATAGTCGATGTCGATTCATTATTTTAAACGTCTCTAATTCAAAATCAAACATGAAACTTTGGTTTCATTCGGCTCCTTTATGGAGATGAGTCAATTTATAGATCTAAGATGTGAAATAAATTAGAAAAAAAAGAATTCTACCCATAACATCTATGTCAGCTTTAGGTCTAAATACAGATAAAACGAATAGCTTTGTAGATGATCCTTCGAGAAGAGGGGGATTCTAACAACCTTTCTAGTTATTTCATTCTCTATTTCTAGTTAATAGGATCCTGAGGAAAAGGATTTTGTTTCCACCGAGCTAAAACAATATGTAGATGTCTCTAGTAAACCAAAGTCATCGTTTAATAGCTAATTTTCTTCACTTTCCTTTTTACAAATAAGAAATTGAAGATTTAGTTACGATTAGGAATCAACTTTCTATCTTCATCCATGGATCCTTTATTCATACTTATCCAATTGAAAGTATTGATCCAATTCAAAAATTATGTTTCGCAATTTCATAATCCAATTTGTCAATGTCTAAGTGACATTTGAAAAAATTGAAACCCTTCTTATTGGATGATCGTGATACTTCCCAAAAATCGAAATTCTTGATCAATGGAGGAACAATATCATCATTTTTGTTCAATAAGATACCAAAGTGGATGATTGACTCATTCCAAACTAGAAATAATCATAGGAAATCCTTTGATAACCCGGATTCCTATTTCTCAATGATATTCCACAATCAAGACAATTGGCTGAATCCTGTGAAACCATTTCATAGAAGTTCATTGATATCTTCTTTTTATAAAGAAAATCAATTTCGATTCTTGAATAATCCACATCACTTATGCTTCTATTGGAACACAAGATTCCCCTTTTCTGTGGAAAAGGCTCGTATCAATAATTCTGATTTTACGTATGGACAATTCCTCAATATCTTGTTCATTCACAACAAAATATTTTCTTTTTGCATCGGTAAAGAAACATGCTTTTTGGGGGAGAGATACTATTTCAACAATCGAGTATTTTACAGAGAGCACCTAACAACTGATTGCAGAGTTTATCATTCGGACCTTTCAATTCATAGATGTAGATCTTGGACCTATGAATGGGGATATTTTCGAAACTCACACAGAACAAAGGAAGTGAGTTAGACAAAAATAAAAGAAACTTGGACAAAAAGAAACAAAGTGGATTAGACAAATCTTTTTTTTTATAACCTCAAACCAATCAATCGAATATTGATTAATACATAATCGATCGAACACTACTTGAAAATGTATCTTATTCTCCGAAACGGACTATTCCAAATGTTCCTAGAAATTTTTGCTCCCATTGGACCATTTGTATCTGTATGCATCAGGATCCCGATTCATGGATCTCTCGGTTCGAGAAATCAAAATAAGAGGCTCGAACCATTTCTTATGACTCTTTTAAAAATTCGATAAATATTGGTTGATCGTATATTTCATTATAGTTCTATGATTCGGAGTATCCTTTCCTATTTGATCCCTTTGAATTCCATATTCGAAGTTGCAATAGGATCTATTCATTAAAACGAATTGATTCAATACATTTCTTATATACTCGTAGGTACTATATTGGATTTGAATCAGATTTCAGATCAATCTATATTGAGTGACTGCCTCCATTATGTTGTTACTAGCAAATACCACTATTATTGATTTTGGATTTTCTAAATCATTCCCGCAAGAGATCCGGGCCCATTTTTTTCTGATCCTTCTAGAAAAAGATTCATTCTCTTCATTAAAAGTAGGAGGTAGAACCCATAAAGATTTTTTTTCCCGATTCATCCCTGGCCTCATTCAAGAATTGTTTTTGATCCAATCCCATGACAATGACAGAACATCCTGAATAATGGACTCGTTTTCCAGGCAGCATCTCACGAAATCTTCCCTCTTTACCTTCAATTACATTAGAAAATGACTTGTAGACTTTATTATGACCGTCCCTCATTGGTTGTCCCCGGATTCCATTATCAAGAAGTGTATCCACGGCTTCTTGTACCAATTTATCCTGACACATTACTAATTCTCCTGGCATAGATCTACTTGTTGTTAATAGATCGGTAAGGGTATTGTTCCGATAGATAACTCTTCTATAGACTTCATTAATATCTGAGCTCATTAGTTTACCCCCATCTATTTGAATGATCGGTCTTAACTCAGGAGGAAGAATTGGTAATAGACACAAAATCATCCATTCTGGCTCTATATTTGTTCGAATAAAATGCTTAGCAAATTCCACGCGTCTAACCAAAAAGTCCTTTCTTCTTCCAACTTTTTGATCTTCCCATTCATTCCCTATGTCTTCTTCCCCAAATTCTTCCCACTCTACCAACGAATTCTCTATAATAATTCATAAATCTAGATCGGCTAATTGTTCTCGGATAGCACCTGCGCCAATAGAGATTTCTCGATTGCGAAATGTATCGAAACCATGGGTAGTAAAAAAAAGTGGGATACTGTATTTCCAAGATTGGATTTCATATTCGAATAAACCTCGTAATTGTAAGAAAATGAGCTTTTTAGTTATACGCCTAGCAAAAGCAAAATTGGTATAGGATTCTATAGGATCTCCCCCCTTTCAAAATCGGACGTGAAAGTTCCTTTCATCCGGCTCAAGTAGGTACACCAAATAAGGAAAGGAGTTCTCGTTTTCAAACTCTAGAAAATCCCAAAATAAAAAGGTCTACTCCTTACTCAAGTTCCTAGTGAAAACGAAATAAGATTTCAGTGATTCCGTCTTCTATTAATTCTTTATTCAATTTCAATTCCAACAAATAAAATAGAAAATTCTTGAGTAATCTTCTTCCCTTTGAATGATAAATTCCTTAACTATTAATAATTAAAGGAATACCTTGGAACCCATAAGGGATTTACTTGTCTATATATTGTTCCATTCGATCTTTTAGGTCCCGACTTCACCTCGATGGTTAAGCCACCACGCCCTTAAAGTCTATACGCGATAGATAGACTCCTGGAACCATGACATATTTGCTTACTTGTACATAATTTCTTTCCTCAAAATGAAAGGAAATGGTTCATTCCAAAAAATAAAAAGCTTTTTTTACGAGGTACAAATAGAAATTCCTCTTTATTTGATTTGTTATGAAATCGACGATAGATCAATTCCCTTTTTATTTGGGAGTATTGACTATACCCCAATTCTGAGCTTCATGTTACGCTGTCCAAGTGACATGTAAGGTCCAGGGCATCCCAATTGGATTGACTGGGATGACAGTTTCTCCTTCCGAGTGTATAAAATCAGAATTTCGATCAAATCACACATCGCAGTATACTAGGCCTTCTAATTCTTTAAGAGGTTTATCTAAAAGATTCGCAATATAACTAGGAAGACATTTTAAATACCACACATGGGTTACTGGTCATGCGAGTTTGATATAGCCCATTTGATACCTTCGTATCCGAGAATCAACAAATTCGACTCTGCATTGTTCATAAAATTTTGGGTCTTCTTTTTCATCTCCAATTACTCGATAATTTCCACAAACACAAATTCCGCTTTTTATAGGACCAAAAATTCTTTCACAAAATAATCCATCTTTTTCCAGTTTATTAGTTTTGTAATGAAAAGTATAGGATTTTGTTACCTCTCCAACTATCTCTCCATTAGTTAGGATTTTTGTGGCCCAAGCACTTATTTGTTGAGGAGAAACTGATCCAATTCAGAGCTGTTGATGTTTATATCGATTGATTATAGACGAAAAATTATTATTC